TTTTTTTTTTTTTTTTTTTTTTTTTTATTCATTAGAGGAACGACGTTTATATCATGATTCGTTTTTTATCACAGTATCAAATTTTTCCTACTTTTCGAAATTTTTTGATTTTTATATTCGATAATTTGATTTTTATCGTTACTTGTTTCAATATAATAACGGCGATGCGATGATTTTTATATTTTCGAATACGCGCTGCTCATCTATTTAAGGACACGTAACGAGAATGTTTTTTTTTTTTTTTTTTTTTTGATTTTCCAAATTCTCGTTATTGAAATTTGACGTGTTCCCCATTCCTCTCGCCGATTTTTATCAATTTAAAAACTTCACGATCGGAAATCTAATATTTTTTTTTACTTCCACGGAATATTTTTTAATTGGATCGTTAACTATCGCGTATAAATATTCCCCCCCCCTTCCCTCTCTCCCCATTAGAAGAGACACGTTTTCGCAGAGAACGAAGCTAATGATAATATTCAACTTTTTTTCAATTTCAAAACATTTAAATCATTTCAACAATTTTTTTCTTTCTTTTTTTTTTTTTCAAAGAGCACGTATCTGTTAAAAGTTATATTTTTATCGGTCGAAATAAAAGGCCATTTCTCCCGATAAAAACGTTTGTTTATTCAAACCGTGAAATAGAAATAGAAATAAATGAATTCGTGGAAAATCATTTTGAAAACTTTTCTCGCGGTCGAGATCAACAATTTTTTTTCCCCGTTGTTGTTGTACGAAAAAATTATTACCCAATTTTCGATCGACTAACGCAGAAACAAAAACAGACGCAGATTTCGCTTATTTCATTCGATTCTATCGTAATTCTATCATTTGTTATTTCCTTGCAAAAGTTTTTAGGAATGATTCCGATTTAATGGCCAAATTTAAATCGATAAATAAAATGTAACGCGGAAAACGAATTTCCAGGAAAAATCAAAAGTAACGCCAAAAACCAGATTTTCCATCCCCTCTCATCGATATTCATATCACTGGCCAATAATTTGTGTATGCACCGATTTTTTTCCCACGTCAGCGATCCATTAATTCGCGCAAAATTGAAATCTTTCGACGCGGATCACAGTGCGAGTAACGAGGCGATGAAAACGCGATGAAAAAAAGAACGAAACAGGTTCGCAGGTGTCGCGCACGTAATAAATGTCGTCTTGACATTTATCGATGATCATCGATCGAAGCGCGGAGATCGAAATAGGCTCGTTTAATTTTTCAATTTCGCAGAAATGATCGGATTGAAATTTTGCAACTTTGCTAAATCAAATATTTAATTTACAGAGGATAAAGGTAACCCCTTTTTTATCTTTCTCCTTTTATAATCCCGAAACAATTCGACAATTCGCGCCGAAACTTTTTCTTTTATTTCGTTTCGTTCGTAAGCAACAAGCCTCTTTCATCGAACGAGAAAGACTGGATTTTTTAATCCATCAACGATGTTTCTTTTACTATGTAAATTTATGATTATATTGTTAAAATACGTATTTGATAAGAAAAGAAAAAAAGTCGAGCGTTGGTAAAATTTTATATTTTTAATATAAAATTTTATACCGGAACTACTTAAGGGATTAAAGTAAGTTTCGCGTTTGATCGTAACGGAGCGATACACCTGTATTATACACTCAACCTATTCAATTTTACAGCCGCTGGTTTCGGTCTAAGGGTGGTTGGTGGTAAAACAGGGACCGATGGACGTACATTTGCATACGTGATGTGGACCCTGCCGGATGGACCAGCGGCAAAAGTTGGTATACAACGAGGCGACAAGGTAAGATCTCGCCA